TCAGCATATTGAAAATATCACTGCTCTGTCTTCTAGTTTTGCTTCTTTCCAACTGAGAAGTCAGCTGTTGGTTTAATTGTTGCATCTTTGACGATAATCTGCCATTCTTTTCTGCTTTTGTGATGTCACCTTTAGAACTGGTGTTCTACAATTCCACTATGTTGCACCCATATGTAAATTTATTTTTATTTATCCTGTTTTAGATTTGTTGGGCTTCTAACATCTGTGGGTAACTTTCATCAGTTCTGAAAAGGTCTCTGCCATTACTTTTTCAAACACTGCCTCTGCCCCAGTCTCTCTTTTCTTCTGGAATTCCAATTAAACATAAGGTAGGCACACACTCTGGTCACCACGCTTCTTGACTTCTCTTCAATATTTTCCATTTCTTTTTCTCTTAGGATTACCCTCTGGGTAATTTTTTCCTATCTATTTTCCAATTCATTAATAATTTTATTGTGTTTAAACTGCTGTTTAAAGACATATACTAAATTTAAAAAATTTATTGAACTAAGATATGTACTGAATTTTTAAAAATTATATTTCATTCATTGGAGATCTGTTTTGATCTTTGCCAAATTTGCTTATTTCTAAGCCCTCACTTATTTTATTCTATTTTCCTTTTTTATTTTTTTTGAGATGGAGTCTTGCTCTCTCGCCCAGACTGGAGTGCAGCTCACTGCAAGCTCCGCCTCCTGGGTTCATGCCATTCTCCTGCCTCAGCCTCCCGAGCAGCTGGGACTACAGGCGCCCACCACCACACTCGGCTAATTTTTTGTTTTAGTAGAGACGGTGTTTCACCGTGTTAGCCAGGATGGTCTCAATTTCCTGACCTCGCGATCCACCCACCTCGGCTTCCTAAAGTGCTGGGATTACAGACGTGAGCCACCGTGCTCGGCCACCTCTCACTTATTTTTTGATACATATTAAACATACTTATTTTATAGCATGTGTCTGATTCTTCCAATAAATACAGATTTCTGAATATCTTACCCTACTACCTATTGTTTCTGCTAGTTTTAATAAATTGTGCCTCTTTTATTCTACTTTTGGTAATCTTTTCATACTGTGAGACGCTTTTTAAGGTAAACGATAAAAGTAGGCTCTTCAAGAATTGATTTGTATTTGTTTCTGCCAACCATCTGATGACATTACCAGCCTAGACTATTTTATATTCTTAGCTTTTTACCCCCAGACATTCAGATAGTGTGAATTCAGGATGGAGACCCATATAATCTTTGTGATTGGAGGTTTCTTTTCTCTTGTATTCAACACCACCTCTTGTTCTTATATATATACTCTTTTGCTTCTATTATACCTATATTTTCACTCAAAAGGTATTATTTAGCCTGCGACAGGATACTTCAGACTAGAAATATTTCTAAGTTCTGGCTCAAGTCTGCAGAGCAGCTATGGCTTAGAAGGACCCCTTTCTGAAACTTTGCTGCTCTGGGGCATTGAACACCTGTGGGGTACAATATACTATGCCCTTCACAAACTCAATGGGCTGGCAAAGGAATTTCATTTTGGGGCAACTACAACAATATTAAAGTTCCATTAATTTGTTTATTTATTTATCTTGTTAAGAGACAGGATCTTGCTCTCACACCCAGGCAGGAGTGCAGTAGTGCAGTCATGGCTTACTGCAGCCTCTCATTCCTGGGCTCAAGTGATCTTTCCATCTCAGCCTCCCAAGCAGCTAGGACTACATGCATGTGTTACCACACCTGGATAATTAAAAAAAAATTTGTTTTGTACACACGGGGTCTCACTATGTTGTCCAGGCTGGTGTTAAACTCCTGGTCTCAAGTAGTCCTCCCACCTGGGCAGGATTACAGGCATGAGCCATGGCACCTGGCCCAAATCCTATGGATTTAATATCACACAAATCACTCTTCACAATTCCCAGTGGAATAGTAGATATTCTTATAAATCTTTTGGTCACTATGTTAGATATGTATTTCTGTCTCTTAACCTTATGGTCATATGGTTGAATTGCATTTCCTGACACTTGGATATATTATACGTCTCTTATTTTACATATATGTAAATAATATAAATATATAAACATACAAATAAATATTATCTATTTAATCTATCCATATAAAATAAGAGACGGGGGTCTTGTTCTCTTTTCCAGGTTGGAGTGCAATGGCATAATCACAGCTCACTGCATCTCAAACTCCTGGGCTTGGGGGATCCTCCTGCTTCCATTTCCTGAGTAGCTGGGAATACAGATGTGTACCACCATGCCCTGCTAATATTTTTTATTTTTAGTAGAGACAGGGTTTTGCCATGTTGCCCAGGCTGGTCTCAAACTCCTTAGCTCAAGCAATCTTCCTGCCTCAGCCTCCCAAAGTGCTGGAATACAGGCATGAGCTACCATGTCCAGCTACCTCTTATAATTGAGGAGGACCATGAAACTCCTTCTGGCTAGTGAGTTATGTCAGTAGTGATGTGTGTCACTTCTGGGACAGATCATTTCAATTTAAGTGTGAGAACTTCCAGAGCTTTCTTTTCCCTCTGTTATGACAACCAGCAGCACTCAAGATGGTGTTTGCTCCAACAGTTTGAGTCCTTAAGTGACTATCATTAGCAAAGCCCTGCTTGCCAATCCATACTAATTACCTATAATAAGTGAGAAATAATCTTCTGTTTATTAAGCCACTAAACTATTAGGGTTGGTAGTTACTGCAGCCAAACCTAGACTATCCTGACATATTAATGATAATGAATTAAACAGAATTCATTATCCAATCAATAACAGATGGAAACTGTATCTCCAAACTGGCACCAGAGTGATTAATGAGGGAAGTAGTTATTGGTCTTCCCCTTACCATATTTGACTGACAAAATGTTTAGAGGGATAGAATAGATCATTATTCAGCTTTCCAAACATAGATACATTTAAAGTCAAGCATAAACCTAATTCCAAAGACGGGTATTCTGGTTATCTACTTATGCATAACATACCACCCCAAACTTGGGGGAGAAAAAAACTTTGTCTCATGATTCTGTGGGTTGACAGCTGGGCATTTTTTGCTTGGGCTCTCTGTGTAGTTGCAGTAAACTGGCAGCTAAGTCAGGAGTCAATTAAAGGTTCGAATGAGCTGAATGTCTGGGATGGCTCATTAAAATGGTGGGCAGTTGAGGCTGACTGTTGGCTGGAAGTTCAGCTGGGGCTGGTTCTTCCTACTGTTTAGGCTTCTTACAACATGGCGGCTGATTCTATGAGGCAGCATCCCAAGTATTCTATGATCAAGGCAGTCATAGTGCCTGCCTAGATTCAAGGAATCTATAGCAATAGACTCTACCTCTTGAAGGATGAGTGGCAAGGTCACACTACAGAAGAGTGTGTGGGAATGAGAGATATCCTATGGCCATCCCTCAGAAATGCAATCTGATACAATGGACTTATATTTAAACTTTTGTATCTGAAGTAGTCAGATGCTAAAATTAGGAGAAATAAAATCTACCAGATTGCTTAAATGATATGTTTTGGAATAAACTATTTAATACCACATATTTTTAAAAAGCTGATTTCCTCTAATTTTTAATTATTCCTTGATGTAAAGTAGTTAAGAAATCAGGATCTAACAAGATACTATTTTACCTACATGTTACCTTTCTTAGCATACAAACTTCTCAAGCTCACTTGTCTCTCTTTTATGATTACCTTCAGCTCCATTTTCACAAGTATCTATGATATAATTCAGTATGAGTTTAATAAAATTAATGATGACAGTTATGCCAGATAACTCCTGGACTTACTAAATTCTATGTTTACTTACTTTTACAAAATTTCAAAAACAATTGAAAATCAAAACAAATGAATGAAAGTAATCTTCAGTGCATATAATTGCTTCATGCAAGTAGTTTTTTCTTTTGTCTCTCTTGTGAATTACCAGTTTCCCCAAATTAATTGCCTTTTTGTCTGTCTCTCCAAATTGATTTAAATAGCTCTGAAGTTAAGAAACATGTCTATTTTGTTCACTATTGTATTCTTTATGCCTAGCACATAGTGGGCACTAAGTAGCTGACCCTGCATATTAACCATATGTCTTAAGCTTACATGTACAGTATCGCATAAGTTGTTCCTTTTCTTTCACATACAAAATTTACTTTAAATACACCAACCCAAATATTCAGGTACTTCTGGCATATTTGCTATAGTGAGTATGGGTCTACCTTAATAGTTTAGATAAGTCAAGGTAAATATTGACAACAGTAACAAAGAATAAATTGAGACTGCTTATTAAGATCCTTTCAAAAATGACATTAATAACAAAAACTGTATTAAAGAGATAACTAAATGCAGTATCTGGAAAAATATCGAGAACTAAGGGCATATTAATTATTTAGTGGAATAACTACTTTATGCATTAGTTTTCTCAAAAGCATGTTTCTATTTTGCTTACCTGCAAAGGAAGTAGAAGGCTCCAATGATAAGTGTTATTAGGACTGCCAACGCCATGAAAGCTTCAAACAGGTTATTTTTAGTTTGGATGCTGGAGCTTGGGAGAAAAACCTCTTCACAACGAGCTCCTGTATAGTTTTCAATACACCTACAGAATACAATTTTAGATAAAGAATTGCATTCTGTGTTTCATTAGCTAGTTTGGAAGAAAAACAGTTTCCAGATGACGTGAAGAAAAAAGGAGACTAATTTTCAGATTGTGAACATGGAATAGACAGGTTTTCCTATAATGCTCACAGATCTACAGTTACAACAAAACAAATGCAAATTTGTTATAATAAAACAAATTTTTACTATCTTCTTTTTCCAGTTTTCCAATTGCTTAGGAACTCCAGAGAATTACAGAGTATGCAGTGTTTTTATCTTCTAGATTTTCAATCATATAAATGTCCATACTTTATCAAAAATTTACTTTTTGTTGTATCTGGTATAATGATCTAAATGCATTTTTCCTTAAAACTGCTAACTGATTATTCCAACCCCATTTATTAAATAATCAATCCACGACCCACTGTTTAACAGTGCCTCCTTTAACATATGTCAGATTTATATAAATAACAGCATTTATTTCTATTCTTCAATGATCTACACCATCTAATCTGAGGCCTTTGCCACACTATTTCAATACTATTACTTTATAATATATTTGAATATCTGGTAGTTCTACTCCTTATTACTTTTTTTTATAGAATTTTAAAAATATTCCCCACTGCCAACTAAATATTTTACAGCCAATTACCTGTAGCTCTCTAAAACTATGTAACAAAGAACCATAATATTTGGTATTACCAATCATTCCTTTTTCCTTGTTAATATGTTCAAAGGATTATAAAACAGAGATTGATATAAATTAACAAGAATGACACTGTTTGGCACCAGATCAATTTCAACATAGTAGCATTTAAAATAAAAAACACTTTAATATTAACGAATATTTATAAAGCAACCCAAAAAGTTATGAAGTCAAGTTGGACAACACTATACTCAGCAATAATTCTGTGTAAAAAAGTGTATGTGTGTATAAAACCAGTTTGTTTTAACCAGATTTTGTCAAGAATAGAAAGGTTAATTCTACTAAATTAATTCTCTTCCTTATTCCTTTCCAGTTTAGGTAGGTATTTAGAAATTTTATCTCTGTTTCTTCCACCTTAGACTAATAAGGATACAGGCCTAGAAAATCAACATGTGAATTAACTACTAGCTTTGACAACTAATGTGATAGTCTAATAAAGCAGTATACAAATAAATAAGAGAAAAAAGAATATCAAGATATAGCACAAAGGATCAATTTGAGTTAGATGAGCATATTAAAGATGTTTCATGAACTTCAAGTCCTACTCAATGTGAGGCAGTGATGTGATTGGTGATAGCTTCCAGGGGAGGTATCAGTTAAGCATAGCAGCAGTCTAGATTCTCTTAAACTACCATAAAGATAAGATTAAGGGGACATAGGGAAAGTAAGGATAGCATATCAGTGGCAAACTTAA